GGAGCCCCCCCAGCTCTCCCAGCCTGGCTCCAGAGGGGCTCCAGCCCTGCAGCAGCTCCGGGGGTTCCTCTGGGCTCTCTCCAGCAGCTCCAGGTGTGAATTCCTGCTGTTCCCAAGCTCGGGCAGCTCCGTGTGCCCTGGCAGGGCTGGCAATGCTCTGTCCATTCCCGTGCCCGGTGACAGTGACATCCCCGTGTGAGGCCACTCAGGGCTGGCACTGCTGAGGGGTTCAGGCTCTCCAGACTGCAGCCTGGCTGCTCATCCTCAAAAAAAAAAAAAACGAGGGAAGCTTTTGAAAGGATCATCAGTTGTTTCAGGAAGTCGTGCTGGTACGGGTAACTAATTTTATGAATTAGTTTTTTCCTTCCTAAAATTTAATTAAATTAAATGGACGCCCAAAATAACAGGAGCCTGCACGTGAGAAGGTTGAACAAACAAAGAAAAAGAAGCGAGTGAGGAGGACACTCATTTATCTCCAAAGCTGGGGATAGTTCAGAGATATTAAACCCAGACTGAGGGACTTCATTCAGCCTTTTGATTTTATCAGGGCAGGGAGGGACAGGACGCAGGGAATGGCTTCCACTGCCACAGGGCAGGGATGGATGGGAGACTGGGAATTGGGAATCGTTCCCTGTGGAGGGGATGAGGCCCTGGCACAGGTGCCCAACACCCCTGGCAGTGCCAAGGCCAGGCTGGAGCACCCTGGGACAGTGGCAGTGTCCCTGCCGTGGCAGGGGGTGGAACCAGATGATCTTTAAGCTTCCTCCCATCCCATTTATTCTGTAATTCCGTGCTGAAATGGGCCGGGAAGGCTCCGGGCAGGGCCAGAGGGTCCAGCCCTGCCTTCCCAGCAAGGACAGGGCTGGGGAGGGCAGGGAGGAGCAGCAGAGGTTCCCCAGCACACCCGAGGGGCACTGCCACCCCCTGGGCACCCTGGTGCCACCAAGCAGGGACTTCTGCTCCCGAGTGGCCATTTGGTGCTGCCTTGGTCACTGCTAAGGAGATTATGGAGGGGAAAGTCCTTCGGTGGCTCAGCAAAATGCAGGGAACACCCTCTGGTGTCAGCCCAGCCGTGCTGTGAATGATGACTCCTTTGCTAATTGCTGCTGCTTGGGGTTTCAGAGGGGTTTAATTAAACCCAGGCAAAAGCAGCTCCTGCCTGGAAGCCTCTGGAGGTCCTCAAGGTGTTCAGAGGTTGTGGTAAAATCCATGAGAAATGGCAGGGGTGGAAGTCGTGAGCCGCTGGGCCGGTGCTTGAAGAACTCAGCTGTAGGGCAGTGAACACCACGTGGATTTGAGATGTATTTGTTTGCTAAACACGTCTGCCAAGCAGCCAGGTTTGGGCCTCTTCGTGTGCATAAAGCTGTGATTTTCCCTGAGAATGGCAACGGGGATTTAGCCTGTGCTTTGGATGCTATTCCATACAAATTTCTAAAGGAAAAATCTTTAATGGATCAGTGACACCCATTTGTTACTGGTTTTAAGAGCAGGGGATATTCACCCCAAAAAGTGAAAATATGGAGAATAAATGTGGTTTTACCTTATTCAGGAAAAAAAAATTGTCATTGAACGTATCTTTTATTTTCCTGCAAATAAGGAATAAAATTAATTGGGATTTATCCCCGAGGAGAACCTGCTGCCTTCCAGGCATGGAAAATCACAGAATCTTTAGGTTGGAGATGATGGGGTCCAACCATTCCCAGCATCATCCGTGTCCCCAGGTGCCACATCCATGCCCAGAGAGACATTCCTGGCCATGCCCAGCGTCCCCAAACCACACAGTGGCTGCAAGAGAGCAAAACCAGAGCTTTTGTAACTGCTTTTTTAAATTCAATTTTGGATCCCAAAATCAGCAGAACCCCCGGGTTTGAAGTGGGCAGCAGAGGCTGCAGCTGGAGGGCAGATTTTGGGGGATGTGCTGGGAGCTCACGCGGTGCTGACTCATGTCCCCCTGCTCTGTTCCAGACAAGCAGAACGATGTGGAGATCCCTTCTCCCACCCAGAAGGACAGGGAGAAGAAGAAAAAGCAGCAGCTCATGACACAGATCAGTGGGGTGAAGAAGCTGATGCACAGCTCGAGCTTAAACAACACCAGCATCTCACGGTTTGGGGTGAAGACAGAAAAGGAAGATCACCTGGCCAAGGTAGGAGAGATTCCTGCTCTTCTGGGAGGATCTGGAAGCTGGGAATGGATTTTCCCCCCTTGGAATCGGTATCCCTGAAGTGATGTGCCCATCAGAAATACTGTAATTAGTATCCCTGAAGTGATGTGCCCATCAGAAATACTGTAATTAGCCTTAAGAGTGTATTTTACATTTAAAAATACATGAAAATAGCCCTAAAATGAAAGAAAAAAGGTGCTGAAGGCTGAGGAGAGCAATTATGGAACACAAAGCCAGCCCTTCACAGTTACTCTGTGCTCATGCAGCTCACACATTCAGCACTTACATAATTAAAATAACCATTACATTTGCATGTTTGTGAACTTTTGGGGCAAATGCAGAGTTGCCTGGACAAACCATTTCCAACCATTATTTTTTGGTGCTCTCCAAAGGAGCTGGAAGACCTGAATAAGTGGGGCCTCAACATCTTCAACGTGGCCAGGTATTCCCACAACCGGCCGCTGACCTGCATCATGTACGCCATATTCCAGGTGTGTGTTCCTGCAGTGCAGCTTCCCTGCTGCTCCCAGGGGAATTCCCGTGCCCAGTTCCCCTCTGCCCCCCTGCCTGGGCTGGCTCTCAGCCGGGTGTTTCTGCTCTGCCCCCTCAGGAGAGGGATCTGCTGAAGACCTTCAAGATCTCGTCGGACACGTTCGTGACCTACATGATGACCCTGGAGGACCACTACCACTCGGACGTGGCCTACCACAACAGCCTGCACGCTGCTGACGTGGCCCAGTCCACCCACGTGCTGCTCTCCACCCCTGCCCTGGATGTGAGTGCCCTGCTTGCCTTGGCTTTCAGCGTGGGGTGGGCACCCGTGGCTCTTCCGAGCACTCCCATCGTTGGGAAACCTCAGCGTGAGGGATCTGTGTTCCACCTTCTCCTTTCTGCAGCGCCAAAAAACCCACTGAGACAGCACAATTTGCTGCCCTCAATCAGCCTGCCCGCTGCTGAGAGGTAAAACCCCTCTGACAGGCTCCTCTTGCTCCATCCTAGGCCGTCTTCACGGATCTGGAAATCCTCGCTGCCATTTTCGCGGCTGCAATCCATGACGTGGATCACCCCGGGGTCTCCAATCAGTTCCTGATTAACACAAGTGAGTTTTGTTCTGAATCCCTCAGAGTTTCACCCTGAAAGCAATGAGAATGCTTTTTAGGTGCCACCAGTGACAACTTGCAGGCTGTGCTGCCCTCTCCAAACTCGGTGCAGTACAGGAGTGAGGCATTTTGGGCTCAAGCAGGAATTAAAATGCAATCCCTGACAAAGGGAACCGTTGTAGCACAATTTGCAAAGTCAATATTTACTACTTGCTAACACATAATAACTCTGCCAGCCCTGAGTGCAAACTTTACCATTAAGATAAGAGAAATAATCCTACTGCTGTTGACAACCAGAAAGCCAAATATCGGCCTTCGTGTTGTGCTCTGCCACAGGCTCAGCGCAGATTCCAAAATGTGGGGATTGTTGTGTTTTGGGGAGGATTTTTTACAGGATTCTGCTGCCAGTGACTTGTAACTGAGTCAACTGAGCATTATTTTGTCACTGGGACTGAGCAAAGGCTGGCGCTGGCGCTCATGGAGTTAAAAAGAATCCCAGAATCCTAAAATCATCCAGAATTCCATGGGCAGGGACGCCTTCCCCAGGACCAGACTGCTCCAAACCCCATCCAGCCTGGCCCTGAACCCTTCCAGGGATGAGAAAAGAAACTTTCCCCCACAAAAACCTTTCAGTGCCCAGAACAAGGCTCCTCTTGGCCGTTGGAAACCTCAGATTTCCCAGCCTGGAGTCCCACATTTGGTGTTCCTTGCCCAGATTCCGAGCTGGCCCTGATGTACAACGACGAGTCCGTGCTGGAGAACCACCACCTGGCCGTGGGCTTCAAGCTGCTCCAGGAGGAGCACTGTGACATCTTCCAGAACCTGACCAAGAAGCAGCGCCAGACCCTCAGGAAGATGGTGATCGACATGGTATGGCCACTCCCTCCTCCTCTTCTGAACCAAAAATGGTCATTTTTTGTGCCTTCCCCTCCTGAAATCCTGTTTTTTTTCCCCATTCTGGAAAGGTGTTGGCCACTGATATGTCCAAGCACATGAGTCTGTTGGCTGATCTGAAGACTATGGTGGAAACAAAGAAGGTGACCAGTTCAGGAGTTCTCCTTCTGGACAACTACACGGACAGAATACAGGTGAGGCAGCCAAATTCCCTGGATTTGGGGTGTTTTGGCCAGGATGAAGGAGCCACACTCCTGGTTTTGCTGTGGCTTTGAAATTAATCATACAGAGAAACTGAATTCTCAGCAGTCATTTCCTTCTGCACTAAAAAGAACCATGAGGTGGTCCCATATTTTTTAGGTGCTATTATTTAGGTGTTAACCCAGAATTAGGGCTTTTTAACACCTGGAACTGCAAACATGCCACATTCTGAGGTCAGTTTTTGAGAGCTCCTAAATTCCCTTGCTGCTTTCTCCCATTGTTTCTGCTGTTACAACACTGCAAGAATTTCATTGGGAACTTGCTGGAATTCCTGCTGGACAGTCTGTTCCCTCAGTAATTGAATCCTTGGTTTGCAGAAGTGCCCAGGAAGTGCTGGAGCAGGATGAGACACATCCTGCTCTGCTCTCTGCTTTGGTGACCTCTCTGCTTTGGGAAAACTCTATATTTTTTATATCAAACCCTCTAGTGCTGCCTAAATCCTTGTGGCCACTTAGTCAGGCCCGTTCTGTGCCTGTGTGGAGGGGATGTTACTCATTCCATGGAGTGGGAGTATTTCACCTCTTTCCCCGAGAGCATGGAAGTGCATTTGGAATGTTGGG